AAACAAGTAAATAATAAAAAATCCCATGCCTTTAAAATAATATCCCTTCACATTTCATTTCTGCTTCAATAATAATTCCCTTTGCTAGGCAATAAAATTTACTGTGCTGAGAAGCAACGCAAAGCAAAGAGACCCGCACACCAAATATACACGCAAAACAGAAAAAGACAAGAGATCTGTCATATTAAAACAAAAGCCCTTACTCAATTTACAGTTACTGTATTTTCAACGCAGCACAAAACGTTTGCCTTCATTAATTGCCCTTCATATTTCCTGATTCAATAAAAAATCCCTCGAACAAAAATATGCTTTGCTCGTTTGCAGCGCATAGAAAGACACAAAAACTAGACAGCCACGCATGTAAGCACATGCAAAATAAAAGAAGAAGAAAACTTTCACATTAAAAAAAAAAAAAACCCTTACTCAATTTTCTATCTTCTCAATATTTGGCCTTCATACAATAAAAATTTCCTCTCTGTTTAGAAGCAGCATAAGGGCGAACACGCAAAAATTCTACGAGTCACACATACATCCATAGACAAAAATAACGGTTCGCCGCTTACACTAACGCATGCCAGAGAAGTCTGCACACACACACCAGTGCACATCAATTTTTGCCCTCAGGCGCCCTAAATTTTTGTACATTTCTGCTGCTGTTTTTATATATGTATCTGCCCTTAGTTATCATTAATTAAAAACTATTTTTATATGTGCAACTTACCTGCAGACGCCCCTTCTTTGGCATATTTGTGCGAATATTCGCGAACGCATTTTGGACAGCGCAATTGACTGCGCAAATTGTCCACCACAAACTTGCGATCAAAAATATGTATTTCGTCGTCGTCGGCCATCATTTTCTGTTTTTTTATTTTTTATTTTGTTGTTAACACAGCGTGTTTGCTGTAAAACAATTTTTAACCCAAAATGTCGGCGAAACTTCCCCAAAAAATTAAAGCAACTAAATTGACCGGCTTAACTGAAGTGCGCACAAATATGAGTTGTGAAAACAGTGCTGGAAAAGCGCGCGCTGATCACTGGTTCATCTGGCAAATCAGTTGTTCGCGAACTGAAATTAGTATGCTGTTAAGGCGAATGAGAATATTGTATATTGAAATTAATTAAAAATCAAATATGATTTGTCGATGTGCGATTATTTATTACATATTTTCATTAACAAGAAAATAATTTTATACATAATTTCTTATATTATTGATAATTTTAATACAGTTCATCGAGCTAGCACTAGTTCTTCGAACTAAACATCGTGAGCACTGAGCTGGCTAGCAAAATTGTGCTAAAACGAGATAGCCTGTGTTAAGAAACAGCTATTGGGTTTCTTCTAAACTTACAAAAAAGTTGTAAAGTATTTCTGGTTTTTCTATATTCAAAAAAGTAGCTGAATTTTAAGTTTGATTATATTTTATTGCATTTTACACGACACCAAATTCAAACCAAAAACCATTGAAAATTATTTTAAAAATGTGTACGTTATTATTTTTTTTTGTTCAGCCAAACATGGAATCCATTATATTATTTTGGCGCAAACGTCGATTGGGCTCGTCCTGCTGGAAACGTCGCAGCTCCTCATATACCTCATCGTCCGTTTCCTGTGGGGAATATTTATATTGAGGTTATGTAGCAACTTTTTTTTTACAAATATAATTACATTTGTAATACTTACAAAGATATAACGGCAAATGGGACATGAATTGGCCTGTAAGGGTGCGTATATATGAAAATTTATATACTGTTTTCTAAATATTATTAAATTTCTCCCTTACCTTCTTTAACCATAGCAAAATGCATTCCTCGTGGAACTCGTGTTTGCATGGCAAAACTTTGAATTTGGCGCCTACTTCGGCCGGCTCCTTGCAGACGGAACACTCGAAATCTGGCTTCACCTCGTCGGCTGCAATTTCATGGATGGGCAGCGCGTCTATAGCTCTCTTCGATGCCTCCGGCACTTCGATCTCCATATCGATGCCATTCATTATGGCCAGGACCTGAAGACGTCGATAATTTCGATCGAAATCGTTAGCGCCCTCCGGTCCCGTGGGCGTATGTCCCAGCTCATCGAAATAATCGGCCATGGTGCACGCCGTGCTCTGCAAGGTGTATCAGAATTTGGATAATTTTATATATATACGGAAATATATATTTACGATCTGGGCGGAATAAAACCTTTTTTTGAAATGGGTTCGTAGAGCCAAATGCCATTTTATTATTTATATCAATGTCAAATTAAATCGTATACAATTTCTCTCCATTAATGTAAGTACAATAAGTTTTCGACAACATATACGATCTATATATAGTTGTCACTGATCTGCGCCTATGGCTTAATATTTCGTAGCACTAGGAATATTTAAGAGGTCTTTGCATTTAAAATGTGTGTTTTAAGAGCTAGATGTTTAGTTTAAAAGTACTCTCCACTAGTCTAAAATTACAGGCAATACTGGCATATATCGGGAGTGCTACAGACTATAGTTCCTATTCCGCTTTTACTGTATTTATAGAAAAGGTATCGCAAATTGAGCTGATAAAAGAGTTTTAAAATATTTGTTTTAAATGCAGTAAAAAATATCTAAAGTTTCTAAAATACTTTAAAAACGAAATAAGCTAAATTATATTTTAAACCAACAAATTTTAAAAGCAATAATTCTTTTTTTTTTTTCAAAATAAATTGCAAATTGAGCTGATAAAAGAGTTTTAAAATATTTGTTTTAAATGCAGTAAAAAATATCTAAAGTTTCTAAAATACTTTAAAAACGAAATAAGCTAAATTATATTTTAAACCAACAAATTTTAAAAGCAATAATTCTTTTTTTTTTTTCAAAATAAATTATACTAAA